CCTACTTTCACTTCTTTTTCATATACACCTAGAAATGAAATTGCTAAATCATATGGTATTTTTATTTTTAGGTTTTTAGGAATTGCTGTATTTCCATAGTGGTTTTACCATTTTATATTCTTACCAACAGTGCACAAAAGTGCCAATTGCTCCACATCTTTGCCAACAATTCTTATTTTCTGTTTTTTTGATAGTAACCATCCTAATGAGTATGAGGTGGTATCTCATTATAGTTTTCATGTGCATTTCCCTAATGATTAGTGATGTAGAGCATGTTTTTGTGTGATTATTGGTTGTTTGTATATCTTATTTGGAGAAATATATTGTCCATTTTTAAAATCAGGTTTGGTTTTTGTTGGGTTTAGGGAGTTCTCTATTCTGGATGTTAAACAAACCCTTATCAGATACATGTTAATATTTTCTCCTACTGTGAGTTGTTTTTTTATTTTGTTGCTAGTGTCTATTGATGCATAGAATTTTATTTTTTCATGAAGTCTCATTTGTCTGTTTTCACTTTTGTTGCTTATTCTTTTGGTGTATATCCAAGAAGTCATCACCAAATCCAGTGTTGTAAAACTTTTGACCTCTTTTCTTCTAAGCATTTTATGGTTTTAGGTCTTATATTCAATAATTTAATCGATTTTGAGTTCAGTTTGGTATATGGTGCTAGAAAAGAGTCTTCATTCTTTTGCATGTGGATATCCAATTTTCTCAACACTGTTGAGAAGATTATTCTTTGCCCATTGAATGGTCTTGGCACCTGTCAAAATGTATATGTAAGGGTTTATGGTATGTATATGTAAGGGATTATTTCTGAGATGTTTATTCAGTTAGTCTGTGTGTTTGTCTTTATGCCAGTGCCACACCGTTTTGAGTACTGTAGCTGTATAGTAAGTTTTGAAATTAGGATGTGTTAGTCCTCCAGCTTCTTTCTTTTTCTATTTTAGCTATTCTGGGTGTCTAGAGATTCCACATAAATTTTGAAGTGGGCTTTTGTATTTCTGCAAAACAATGTCATTGGAATTTTGTTAGGGATTGCATTCAATCTATAGATCGCTTTGGGTGGTATTGACATCTTAAAAATATTAAGTCTTCCAATCTATGAGCATGGAATGGCACTTTCATTTATTTATGTCTCTTTAATTTCATTCAGTGTTTTGTAGTTTTCATTGTACAAGTCTTTCTACCTACTTGATGAAATTAATTCCTAAGTATTTTATTCTAGTTGATGCTTATATATATATATATATATATATATAATTATTTTTGTACTTTCCTTTTCAGATGGTTCATTGTTACTGTAGAGAAATGCAACTGATTTTCCTGTGGTGGCTTTATACCTGCTACTTTGTTGAGTTCATTTTTTTAGTTCTGAAAGTTTTTTTGTGGAATAATTAGGTTTTATATTTAAAGTCTATTTTGTCTGATATTAAGATAGCCACCACTCCTCTTTTGGTTACTATTTGCATGGAATATCTTTTTCCATCTTTTCACTTTCAGTCTGTTTGTGTCTTTGAATCTAATGTGAGTCTATTTTGCATAGCATATAGTTGGATTTTGTGTTTTTATCCATGCTGCAAATCTCTGTATTTTGCTTGCAGAGTTTAAACCATTTACATTTAAAGTAATTACTGAGAAAGAGGGCCTTACTTCTGTCTTTGCTATTTGTTTTCTATATGCTTTATAACTTTTTTTAAAAATATTTTATTTATTTATTTGTCAGAGAGAGAGAGAGTGAGTGAGCACTAGCAGGGGGAGCAGCAGGCACTCCGCTGAGCAGGGAGCCTGATGCAGAACTTGATCCCAGGACCCTGGGATCATGACCTGAAGGCAGACACTTAACCAACTGAGCCACCCAGGCATCCCTGCTTTATAACTTTTAAATCATTTCCTGCATTACTGTCTTCTTTTGTGTTTAGTTGATTTTTTATAGTGAAACATTTAAATTCATTTCTCATTTCCTTTTGTGTATACTCTGTAGCTGTTTCCTTTGTGGTTACCATGGGGATTACATTTAACATCCTAAAGTTAAAGCACTCCATTGTGGATTTATGCCAGTTTAACTTCATGAACATACAAAACTCCTCTTTTACAGCTCCATCCCAACTCCTTTTAATTGTTGATGTTACAAAATTACATCTTTATACGTTGTGTGCCCCAAAACACAATCTAATATTTTAAATATACTTGTCTTTTAAATTAAACAGTATGTGGAATTACAAACCAAAGTTACCATAATTCTAGTTTTTAGAATTATAATTTTAAAAAAATATATTGTTCTCTTAAATCATGTAAAAAACAAAAAATAGAGTTACAAATTATTGTTACAATTAATATTAGCTTTTATAACTGCCCATGTATTTACTTTTAATGAAATTCCTATTTCTTCATATAACTTTGAGTTACTGTCAGGTGTCCTTTCATTTTTCCCTGCAGGATTCTCTTGAACATTTCTTGCAGGGCAGGTCTAGTAGCAATGAACTCTTACAGCTTTTGTTTATCTGGGAATGTCTTAATTTCTCCCTTACTCTCAAAGAGCAGGTTTGTTAGATGTAGGATTCTTGTCTTGTATTTTTTGTTGTTGTTGTTAAGCAGTTTGAATATATTGACCCACTGCCTTCTGGCCTCCGAAGTTTCTGATGAGAAATCTGCTAATGTATTAAAAATTCCTTGTATATGATGAATCACTTCTCCCTTGTTGTTTTCAAGAGTTTCTCTTTATCTTTGGCTTTCAAAACTTTAATTATAATGTGTCTTAGTGTGGATGTATCTTTGAGTTGATCTTACTTGGAGTCTGTTGAGCTTCTGGGATGTTGATATTCATGTATTTCAACAAATTTGGCATTTTTCAGCCATTATTTCTTGAGATACCTTTTCTTCCCCCTTCTTTTTCTTTTCTCCTTCTGGGACTCCCACAATGTGCATGTTGGTCTGCTTACTGGTGTACCATAGGTCTCTTAGGCTCTATTCACTTTTATTCACTCTTTTTTCTTTCTCAGACTTAACAGTTTCCTTTGGTTTATCTTCAAGTATGCTTATTATTTCTTCTGCCTGCTCAACTCTGCTTTTGAATCCCACTAATAAATTGTTCCTTTCAGTTATTCTACTTTTCAGCTTCAGAGTTTCTATTTGGTCCCTTTTTAGGTTTTGTTTCTTTATTGATATTTCCATTTTGTGCAGCATTTCTTGACTTTCTCCACATCTTCCTTCAGTTTTTTGAGCATCTTTAAAACAGTGTTTTAAGGTCTTTGTCTAGTAGATCTACCATCATATCTTTTTCAGGCTCAGTTTCTGTTGATTTATTTTTTTCCTTGAATGAGTCATCATTTTGTGTTTCTTTATATGCCTTATAATTTTTTGTTGAAAAGTGGAAATTTGAAGTTAATAATGCAGGTACTGTGGAAATGAGCTTCTTTCCTTTCCTCAGAGTTTACTGTGTTGTTTGTGTGTGTGTGTGTGTTTTCTTTTTTTTAATTGCTGTAGACTGTTTCCATAGCTTACAAGGATCGGTTAAGGATCAGCCGGAATTGTAAACTTAAGGTCTTCTCAGTTTTCTGAGTCTGTGCCTTTCCCTGGAAATGACGGGTCACTTTCTAATTTTCTCCCTCTTTATAGTTATTTTTGAATGTCCTAGTTTTGAATGCCTGGCCCCCAGAGGGGGAAAGGAGAACAATGTAGAGGGAAGGAAAAACCCTTTAAGTTCCCTGGAAGTTGCCAGATGGGAAGGGCTTGCAACAATGGTGGAGGGTGGAGGCACAGCAGCAATGACTGCCCTCCTGTTTGTCTGCACCTCTGTAATCAGAAGCAGCAACCAACAATCCCAACACAGACCTCCTGTATTTCCAGGACAGAGTCCTTTTTCTCCACCCCTCTCCCACAAGCTGTGTGCAGGCTGTTCCAGGAACGTGTACGCAGCTGCTGCTGGGGCTGAGGTGAGGGAGTGGATAGCTAGGGCTGGGCTAGGAGCCAGAACTGACCAGCGTTAACCGCAGTTCACCCCCAAGCCTTCCTCTGGAAGTTGCAAGCCTTCAATAGAGTCCAGAGTTCCAAATAGTTACATTAGATTGGGCCAGTGCGGTTGTCTAGATGGGAAGACAGATTCCTGGTGCTTCCTTAGTCCACTTTATCCCAGGATCCTCTCTGTCTGCTGCAACTTTTTAAAGGACTCCTAAACTATGATTTTCTGACTTCTCCCATTACTTATTTCTTCACAGTATTAATAAAAATTATGGCTAGAACTAGTAATTTTGTTTTGCTTCTTAGTAGTCAGGCTTCATCTCTTTTTCTGGCAGTTTAATGCATGATTTATTAACTTGTCAGCACATTTACGAGTTACAAAGTAAGAAAAATTCTATAATCATCTCTAACTCTAGGTTAGGAGCCTGGATAAACTTGGGATGAAACTGTCATTGTGCGTGTTGATTAAGAAAAGCTTATTTGGGAGCGCCTGGGTGGCTCAGTCAGTTAAGCATCTGCCTTTGGCTCGGGACATGATCTGGGATCAAGCCCCATTTTGGGCTCCCTACTTAACCTGCTTTTCCTTCTCCCTCTGCAGCTCCCCCTGCTTGTGCTCACTTGCTCCCTCTCTCTCTGTCAGATAAATAATTAAAAAATCTTAAAAAAAAAAAAGCTATTTGAAGTCATTGAATGGGAACATGAAAGGTCATAGATTTTCAAGAGAAACTGACATGGGTTTAATACTGGCTTAGTCAATAACTATTTGACCTTAGGCCTTGAAGTGCAGTCTCATCTCTAACATTAGCAAATTGGCAAAATCTGCTCTGCAAGATTGTTGTTTAAATCAGAAAAAGAAACAAATTGGAGGATATAAGACAATCAATAATAGGTAACAATTTTTATTTTTATTAAAATTATTTTGATACCAAATCTCATCAGTATTATATCCTTTACTCAGGTTCTGTTTTTCTTGAGTTCTAGTGAGTTTCATAATGGAATTTATAAAGAGATTTTGAATATACCCTTTTTGCTTATTTTAGGACTTTCAAATGCCTTGGAAAGAGGAGTCAGAACTTACAGAGAGGGATAAAGCTGCCAGAATCATTCAGAAGGCCTGGAAATGTTTCCTTGTGAGTTTATTTCATTTTTCGCAGCTTGATTGCAATATAATTTGTATATCATAAGGTTCACCTGTTGAAAGTGTACAATTCAGTAGTTTTTAGTATATTTACGGATTTGTGTACCACCCTTTGCTTTAAAAGCACACAGTGTTTAGAAGTTAAAAAACTTAACATTAATTAGTTATCTTCTTAGCCTCACAAATCCTTACTGAGCTCCTGGTCAGGGCCAGTCACTTTGATAATGGCTATGATCAACGAAAATATCACTACTAGGGTTTTTTGGCTTTAACCTCTAAAATTTTATTTCTTGACTCGGGAATCAGGTTTTTGAACAGGTGTTAGGGATACATTAAATATTTAATTATTAAATATTTATTGAGTACCTACTTTTGAAGACAATGTTTAATAATAAACTATGTCTGAATTAATGTACTTATTTATCATGCTTTAGTGTGGGTATAGCTGGTCCCATTGGTGTAAGGAATATTCCGAGTTGATTCACCTGGTTGGGTGAGAGCCAACAGCTAATATGACTCTACTCTTTCCTCTGTGATAGCAGTAACACTGTCTGTGTTTGATAATTTTGTGTGAAGTGGCATGGCTCTGTTTCTAGCACACCAGAATACCTTTGTATTGGCTCATTAAGTCTTGCAAAATACCTTCCATTATTTGTTTCTTTTGCCTCTTTCAAAGCCATAAAATCCATAACTATTGATTTCCAATACTAAAATAATAATTTGCTTTTAAAATCTATTCCTTTGATGGTTTCTGTTAGCCTACTTGTTAACTAGACTTAAGCTTTTCTGTTATTTCTAACTTCCTTTATCCCACATCCAAATCCAACCAGACACATTACTTTGTATACCTTTTATATTCCTAGCACTGTGTGAGGCACTTTACAATACCTCCTTGCCCTTAAGGAGTTTCAGTAGAGAAGCCCTGTATATAAACAGACAAGCGTGTGTGTATATGTATTTCATTTTATTTTATTTTTTTAAGATTTTATTTATTTATTCATCAGAGACAAGAGAGAGAGAGGCAGAGGGAGAAGCAGGCTCCCCACTGAGTAGGGAGCCCAATGAGGGACTCAACCCCAGGACCCTGGGATCATGATCTGAACTGAAGGCAGACGCTTCACTGACTGAGCCACCCAGGTGCCCTGTGTATGTGTATTTTAAAAAGATGGTAGACTGAGCATATATTTTCACTTTTTGTCCCTGCAGAACCCTATTGAAATGACAGTATACAGAAAGTTAACCCATACCAGAGAGAAGGGAGTTCATGAGCAGATTAATTTTATCTCATTTTTGGAAAACCAAAAATAGATCATAGCATCCTTTGGATAGAACTGTGTAGAAGACTTGCCTTGACACACATCAGAGGGGCTCCAGTGAGAAAGCTGATTTGTCACTGGGACCCTAGAAAGGATATCATTTCTGAGTTAGCAATTTACACTTAATCTTAGCCAAAAGGCCGAGAAGTGATTTGGAGTTAGCAATTTAAAAGATCTGGAAGGAGAATGACCGTAGGCAAGAGGGTTACTTGTATGTAGTGTAGCTGTGACAGATGTCCGTACTGTCACTTCAAGCCCCAAAGCTACAGGTAGATGGATATTTACCATTGGTCAAAAAATTTGCTTGTAGATGGAGATTTACTATTAGGGAAAAAAAACCCTGATGGCTTATCTCTTTTGTAAAAAATTAAGTGAACTTTTTATTTGGAAAAGCTAATTCTATTGTGGATTTGGCACTACGCGTAAAAATCTCTTGATTTTAGTATTTGAAAGACACCCTGCTTGATTGCTGGCTACCTAACCATACCTGCCCCCTCTAAGAAAGTCTACTGATTATCTTATTCCACCCACATTACAAAGCTCCCAGACCATCTTCCCATTCATATGTGACAACAATGGGAAAATGGAGACTTACAAAAAAGCTCAGGATACTCCGACTAGTTCCCTGGAAAAATTGACATAGACCTTCATTCTTAAGTATTAATGCACAACCAAGGATCAGCTGATATTTAAGGGAAATCAATGATGTAAAAAAAAGATAGAGGATGGGTGCCTTGGTGGCTCAGTTGGTTAAGCGACTGCCTTCGGCTTAGGTCATGGTCCTGGAGTCCTGGGATCGAGTCCCGCATTGGGCTCCCTGCTCAGCAGGGAGTCTGCTTCTCCCTCTGACCCTCCCCCTTCTCATGTGCTCTCTCTCTTTCATTCTGTCTCTCTCAAATAAATAAATAAATAAAATCTTTTAAAAAAGAATAAGAAAATTAAAAAAATGAAATAAAAATGGTGATCAGTTTAGTTAAGATCAGTATGTTGAATGTCTCTAAGCGGGTTGTATTGGAAGATAAAATGGTACCCCGTGCAACAGAAGGTATGACTGCACAGTTGCATTTAAAAAGTGGTTAGAAACTGAAGAGAAGCTAACCATGAAAGTCATGGAACCATAATAGTTCTGAGATTCAAAGAGAATACATTTGATCTTAAGTCTAGAAACATTCTGCTTCAAGTGGCTCAGAGGATGACTTCTAAATAAGGATGCCTAATTTTAACACATTACGTTGCCTTATAAATGAATAATCTGCATAGTCAAACTAATGTAAATGAAGGCATTTTCTCACATTTGAATATTTTAAATAAAAATAATATATATATATTTCTTTAAGTAAAATAATGTAGGAGAACTTATAAATAAAAGCCCTTCTTTTACCCTCTCATACTCTTCTCTACCCTCATATCCTAAAAGCAACCACTTTTAACTGTTTTTTGTTTTAGATCTTGTAGTAATTTCTGTGTTTCTGCATAATATGCTTGTATAATTATTTTTTATTTATCAACTTTAGAAGTGACCCGTTGACTTTCTGCAAAGATAATTGAGAGCTTATCTTGCTTATCCCTTACACAGCCTTGCTTATCTCCCCTCCCAGTATCATATATGATTATTTTTTACTTCTTCTATTTGTTACCTTACTTCTTTAAAGAATACTTAAACCTTTGTTTCTTGTTCCATCATGCTAACGTAAGATTATGTGACTTATTATGTATGATGAGGATATAAATATCCCTACCCCTCCTTTTCTTTTTTGCCTATATCCTCCCAATCTTCAAATCCCCAAATCCCGTTACACCCACTGTTACACTGTCAGTACTCACTTTGAGGAGTCTCTCAGATATCCGGAACAGAAGTCCTTTATTGACTACGTGTGTTGCAGATATTTTTTTCAGACTGGCCTCATTGCATTCTGAAAGGTGTTTTTTGATAATGACAAGTCTTTAATTTTCATTAAATCCAATTTATCTTTTGTTCTTTATAGTTAGTGTTTTCTGTGTCCTGTTTAAGAAATGTTTGCCTAGGGGCTCCTGGGCCGCTCAGTCAGTTGTGTCCAACTCTTGATTTTGGCTCAGGTCATGATCTCCGAGTAGTGAGAGCAAGCCTCACGTTGGGCTCCACACTCACAGTGGAGTCTGCGTGAGATGCTCTCTCTCCCTCTGCCCTACCCTCTGCACGCTGTCTTTCGCTCTCTAAAATAAGTAAACAAATCTTAAAAAAAAAAAAAGAAAGTTTACCTAAAGAGGTGACAATATCAAAATGGCAACATAGGTCATTCTTAACTTCAGTCCGCCTCACCAGAAGACCAACTAACAACTATCCATAGAAAGCACTCTTGTGAAAATCCCAGAGCCCAGGACCAGAGAGAACAGGAAGGACCACATTAGAAGGAGCGGAGGAGGGGCTTCACTTTGATCACATCACCAGGCACAAGGCAGCCCTGAGGAGCCCACTGGGCCTTTCCTTTCTCCAGTGGGGAAGGAGATCCCAAGGTGGACATCCAAATCACCCAGGACGGTATTACTCGTCAAACATATTGAAATAAATCTGGGGGAAATGTTTATGTAACCTGAAGCCAGAAGATATTTTCCTTATATTTTTTCTAGAGGCTTAATTGCTTTAGTGGTAGATTGAGACCTAGTATCCATCTCAAATTAATGTTTGTGATGATGAGAGGTATGGACAAAGTTCATTTTTGTCTTTATGGATAACCAAATGATTAAGTACCTTTTATTGAAAATACCCTTCTTTCCATAGTAAATTGTGGGGGTGCCTTTGTTTAAATCATGTAATCATATATGTGAAGTGTTTCTATCGTCTCTGTTCCGTTGCATTGGTCTATTTGTCTTTATTTGAGTCAATACCACACTGTCTCAGTAACTGTAGCTCTGTTAGAAGTACGGGTAGATGGCACTACAGTCCTCCAACTTGGATGTTCTTCCCGATTGTCATAGCTCTTCTAGGTCTTTTGCATTTCCATGTATTGCAAAAATTATTGTGGAGATTATATAATTGGTATTGAATTGAATCAGTAGATCAGTTTGGGAGAGAACTGATATTTTTCTACACTGAGTTTTCATGAACATGGTGCATATCTTTATTTATTAGATCTTTAAAATTTTTTCTCCATAATGTTTTGTAGTTTGCAGTGTAGAAGTCTTAAACATCTTTCATTTAACTTCTGGGTACTTGACATTTCTTGATGCTGCTGTAAGTGGTATTATTTTTAAATTTTATTTTCTAGTTCATTTCTAGTTTATAGAAATATAGTTTATTTGCCAACCTAATATGCACTTATTATTTCTAGTTGCTTTTTTATAGATTCCTTTGGATTTTCCACTTAAGCATGTCATCCTTGAATGACAACTTTTATTTTTTCTTTGCAAACTTTATACATTTTATTTCTTTATTGCACTGATTAGACCCTCCAGTGCAAGATTGAATAGAAGCAGTAATTATGGACATTTCTTGCCCTTTTGTTGAACGCAGAAGGCATGTAATCCACCATCAGCTAAGATGTTACCTGTAGTTTTTTTGTGAAAACTTATCATCAGTTTGGGGAATTTAACTTTATTCCTAGTTTGCTTTTTATTCTTGTTGTTATGAAAACTCTGGGTGTTGAATTTTATCAAATGCTTTTGCTGCATTTACTGTATGATCATATGGTCTGTCTTCTTCATTCTTTTCATGTAGTGAATTTCATTGATTGATATTCAAACGTTAAACCAACCTTGTATTCCTGGAATAAATTCCACTTCACTCTGATGTATTATTACTCTTTTTGATATATCCTGGATTTGATCTGCTAAACTTTATTGACACAAATGAACAAACCTTTTAGAATTTCTAGGAAAAACAGAGAGTTTCATTCAAGTCCAAGTTAGGACAGCTGCCCTGGATACACAGTCTTCACAAAGAAGAGAGTGCTTTGGTAAGGGAGAACATTTGGTGTAAGGTTATATACATTTTATACATAAAGAGTTACAAATTATTAGACAAAGAACATTTTAGAAAGTTGCAGACCTTAAGTTTCTAATATATGCAGGGCTGTAGACTTCAGTCTTACAGGAACCAGGGAAGTTTCTTCCTTTTTCTTTTATGTTCAGAATGCTCCTTTCTGGTTATTTTCTTTAATGAAGCAGATATATAGTGTGTGTTCAGGGAAGAAACAGAATCCAAATTTTGCCTAGTCATTTTCACCTGGGTAAATGTTAAAGTATAGCCTCCCCTGGAGTCCAGGAACAGGACCCACAAGCATTAAAAGTTGAAAATTTCCTATATCAACTTTAATTTAGGATTTTTGCATATTTGCTCATGAATGTAATTTTTCTTTTTTGTCATATACTTCCCAGATCTTGATATCAAGATTATGCTGGCCTCATAAAGCGAATTGGGAAGTATTCCTTCTGTTATATTATCTGAAACAATTTGTGTGATTAATGCTATTTCTTCTATAAATATTTGGGAGAATATATTAGCAAAACATTGTGTGCTAGGAGTTTTCTTTATGAAAGGTTTCTAATTAGGGATTCCATTTTTTAAATAATACGGGAGTATTCAAAACTGTATTTCTCCTTATGACCATTTTGATGTTACCTTTCAAGGAATCTGTCCATTTTCTTAAAATTGTCAAATTTATTTGCCTAAAGTTGTTTATAATCTCCTCTAACTGTACTTTTAATGTCTGTAAGATTTGGGATGGTATTTCTCATATGTGTTTTCTCTCTATTTTTCTACATCTGTCTTAATCTTTAAAAAAAAACAAACCCTGGTTTTTGACTTTGTTGGTTTTCTCTATTTTAACTCTACATTTCATTAACTGCTGATCTTTATTGTGTTTTCCTTCATCTTTTGAGGGAGTTTGGTTTGCTGTTCTGTTTCACACTTCTTGAGATGGAACATTAGATCTTAGATTTTACACATTTATTCTTTTTTAATAATATATGTATTTAAAGCATTTAAGTTCTCCCTGAGCATTCCCTTAGATGTATCCCACAGGTTTTGATATGTCATATATTTATTACATTTCAATTTAAAATATTTTATAATTTCCATTGTGATTTTTTTTGACCCATGATTGATTGATTGATTTTAAAGATTTTATTTTTAAGTAATCTTTCCACCCAACATGGGGCTCGAACTCACAAGCCCAAGATCAAGAGTTGCATGCTCTACCAAATGAGCCAGCCAGGTGTTGCTTATAGGCGCCTGGGTGGCTCAGTGGGTTAAGCGACTGCCTTCAGCTCAGGTCATGATCTCAGTGGTCCTGGGATCAAGCCCCGCATTGGGCTCCTTGCTTAGTTGGGAGTCTGCTTTTCTCTCTCCCTCTGCCCCTCCCCTTGCTTGTGTTCTCTCTCTCAGATCAATAAGTAAATTTTTTTTTTAAAAAGTATGTTGCTTAATTACCAAATATTTAGGAGTTTTCTAATTACCTTTCTGTTACTGATTTCTGGTTTAATTCCACTGAAGCCAGTTATTTATATGATTTTAATAACTTGAAATTTGTTGAAACTTGCCTGGCTTAAAAAAGTCTATTTTTGTAAATGTTCCATGTGAACTTGAGAAAAAAATGTATTCTGACATCATTTAGGTCAAACTTTGGTAGCTGTCTTAATCCATTTGGGCTGCACTACAATAGACTGGGTAGGTTATAAATAATAGAAATATATTTCTTACAGTTCTGGAGTCTGGAAAGTCTAAAATCATGGCACCAGCAGATTTGGTGTCTGGTAAGGACCCGCTTTCTAGTTCATAGGTGAACAGTTAGTTGTCTTCTTGCTATGTCTTCATGTGGTGGGAGGGGTGAGGGATCTCTCTGAGGCTTCTTTTCTTTCTTTTTTTTTTTAAGGAAAAGGGGAGGGGCAAAGGGAGAGGGAGAGAGAGAATCTTATGCAGGCTCCACACTCAGCATGGAGCCCAACACAGGGCTTGATCTCACAACCCTGAGATCATGACCTGAGCTGAAATCAAGAGACGCTTAACCAACGGAGCCACCAAGGCACCCCTGAAATAACCATATGGTTTTTATCCTCTCTCTTATAGATGTGATATGTCACATTGATTTATTTGTGAATGTTGAATCACCTTTGCAACCCAGGAATAAATCTCACTTAATCATTGTGAATCATTTTTTAAATTTATTACTGGATTCAGTTTGCTAATATTTTGTTGAGGATATTTGCATCTGTGTTCATCAGAGATATTAGACTGTAGTTCTCTTTTTCAGCAGTGTCTGTTTGGTTTTGATATCAAGGTATTGCTGGCCTCATAGAATGAATTTGGAAGTTTTCTTTCTCTTCTTTTTGGAATAGTTTGAGAAAAATCGGTATTAACTCTTCTTTAAATATTTGGTAGAATTTGCCTGTTGAGGCATCTGGTCTGGCCCTGGGACTTTGGTTTTTGGGAGTTTTTTGATTACTGATTCAGTTTCTTTGCGGTTATCAGTCTTCACATTTTTTGTTTCATGTTTCAGTTTTGGGAGGATATATGTTTCTAGGAATTTCTCCATTTCTTCTAGGTTGTCCAATTTGTTGGCATATAGTTTCTCATAATATTCTCTTATAATCCTTTGTATTTCTGTGCTGTTGGTTATTTCTCCTCTTTCATTTCCGATTTTGTTTATTTGAGTCTTCTCTCTCTCCCTCTCTTTCTTTCTTTTCTTTCTTTCTTTTTTGTTTTTTAAATGAGTCTGGCTAAAGGTTTATCAATTTTGTTGATCTTTTCAAAGAACCAGCTCCTGGTCTCATTGCTCTTTTGTACTGGGTTTTTTTTTTTCTTCAGGTTTCAAAACTTTTTATTTGCATATTAAAAAAATTGTGCATTCCAATCATTAAAATCACTTGAACAAAAAAAAAAAAAATGGCATTTTACAGCCTGCAGGACATGTTGGACCAGCTTCCACTGTTGTCCCACCCAGCTTCTCCGTTCACCAGCATACAAGTTCTTTTCCTTCCCTGCCAGCCAGACAGGCAGATGGGAATGGCAGGTGCTATCTTTGTCGGCAATTCTGTTTTGATATGAGCTGCACCATTTCCACAGACAATTGCAGTGGGGCTTCACATTGTCATACTGGTGCTGTGGGTTACTTCAGTTTGAATTGATTTGATTTGATGTTAGCATACTGGGGCAGTAGGAGAAGTTTACCAAGAGTTACTAAGGGTTTTTTGGGGCATAGGGTAAAAGGAGAATGTTACCAAATAAATAGTTTTCTGAGATAGAAGAATTGTTTGGAGTCGTCTGACTAAATACTGTGCTAACATGAGTAGTAGATTGGGTTTGTAAATCAATGGCATTAATACAGGACCGAGGTTTCTGGAATGATAAGATAATAATTATTTAGTGCTTTCTTGTGCCAGAAGTTGTTTTAAGTGCTTTACAAATATTAACTCATTAATTCCTCACCATAGCTGTATGAGATACCCCTATCATTCCGGTTGTTTGGATGAGAAACTGAGTGGAGAAGCTAAGCAGCTTGTCCATGGTCACACTAACAGTTCAACCCAGATAATGCCATGCCGTACTCAATGTTCTTAACCAGTAGGCTGTTTTGTCTTTTTCCTGGTTTACTCTGGAGTACACAGAAGTGACTCCACCAACATTCTGGGTATTTTATTTATAGTTGCTAATGATGTAGTTCCAAAGTTAAGGGTAAAACTCTGTGAGAATAAAACCAATATTTCCTAGCTTGCCAAAGCAAACCCTGAGTGGATAATATTTCTAAAATCTAGTTTACATACATAAAGTCTATTTTATGGTTCTTACTCATTTTGCCCTAGTTAGGCACAAAGCTTAAATTAGAGTTAGAAAATCCAGTTTTGACCATAGAATCTTATGTGCTTGAACCTTTAGAATGTCGCTGTATTCCAACACTATAAAAGACTGATTGATATCAGAAGACAAGGGGAGCCACATCAGATAGTGAAATATATTGATCCTAAAGAGGTGAGGATGTTATTTATTCATATAGCATCTGTTTTTTCCCTTCAAAATGTGTGAGCGCTTTATAAATGTGCTTATATGTGTTTCTTTTAAAAAACTTTTTGTTGAAGTGTGACGCACACATAGAAAAGCTCATAAAACATAAATGTGTAGCTCAGTGAATCATCACAAACAATCCCCCGTGTAACCATCACCCGGATCAGAGTCTCATACTTCAGACCCCTGCCTTCCGGTGCTCTGCACATCTCGGCCAACTCCCTGCTCCCAAGAGGCAACCACTATTTTTAATTGAAGCTTTGTTTTTTGTTTTTTATTTTTCAGTCTTCTCTATTTTTGAACCATATGTAAATAGAATCCTCTGGTGCGCTACTGTATCTTATCATTCAACATTGCATTCCTGTGGCTGAATTTTATTCATTTTCTAAAAAATAATGACAGTTATTTCATTTTATGAATATACTGCTGTTTATTCTTTCTACAGTTGATTGACATTTGTATTGTTTTTTCCAGTTTGAGTCTGTTACAAAGACTGCTTTTGGGAATATTCTTATTCATCTGTCCTGTGCACATGTATACAAATTTCTACTCCATCCAGAAATGGAATTTCAAACTCTTTTCCAAAGTTACTGTACAATTTGTATTAACCATCATCAATCTTTTGGAATTCTTGGTGTTCTGCGTCGTTACCAGTGCTTAATATTATCAGCTTTTTAGGGACAGTCCTCCCTTTACGCATACTTAAATTTTTGGTCCCAGCGCCTTCATTCTTAGTTCTCATTCTGAGGCTTTGGGCTGAGGGCTTCAGGCACCTGTGCTGTCCCATTCTGACTCTCCTTCCTCAGTCTCCTCGCTACCACCTGCCCCACCCATTCACGCCTCAGAGTTTTGAAAGTCGGGACTCCCTAACAGAGGACACCTGTGTCTGCTGCACTTCACTCTCAAATGCTGCAACCCTGGCGGGGGTTGGGGGGATGACCGGGTGGAATCCTTGCCTCCTCCAGTGTTAGGGGCTCCAACTCTTACTTAGTACCATTACAGTAAGTGATTGAAAGCTTTCTTTCCCTTTCTGCTTGTTTCCTTCATTGGCTCTTGTGACACCCGACAGCTCAATGGCCATCCTCCCAGATCAGCTGAGCTCTTGACATTTTTTTTCATGTCTTTTATGTGTATATTGTCTCTTATTTTTCCGGGCTTTAAGCAGTTCTTTATATATTTTTCACACAAGCCCTTTGTCCGTTCTCTGTGCTGCACAAATCATTTTTCATTATATGATTTGACTTGTCACTCTTAAGATGGTCTTCCCACTGTTTTTTTACCACGAAAAATGTCAAACATATACAGAAGTAGAAAGAATAAAGTAATGAACCACATGTACCCGTCCCCTAACTTCAACAATTGGCAGTTCACAGCCAGGCCTGCTTCATTTACATTTCCACCCTCTTTTCCCATCCCTAGGTTAATATTTTGAAACAAGACTGTCTTTTGGTGAACAGAGTTCTTAATTTTAATGTAGTTTAAATTGTCAATCCTTTTGTATATGGTTGGTGCTTTTTATAAACTTCACCAACCCTGAAGTCATGAAAGAATTTTCCTATATTATATGTAACCTTTATTGATTCGCCTTTCATATTTAGATCTGCAGTACACCTGGGGCTGATATTGTGTGTACGGTGTGAGACAGAAGTCACTTTCATGTTCTTCCATTTAGATATCCAAATGATGAAACACTATTTACTAAAAAGGTAGTCCTTTCTCCACTGCTCTCCATGCCACTTTTACTATAAATCAAGTAGCCATTTTTGCATGGGTCTGTTTATGCATTTTCTATTCTCTTCCACGGTCTATTTTTCTACCCTTGTCATAATTACTATAGGTTTGTATTATTATAGGTTTATAACAAGTGTATTATATGGTAGAGAAGTACTCCCATTTTGTAATTTTTCAAGAAGACACTTCCAGGCTGTTGTTGGATGTTTTGTATTTACATGCAAATCTTAGAATTAAGTTGTCAGTTTACACACATAAAATCCTCCACCATCAGGAAAATAGTAGACTAGGGAGCACTAAGAATAACTGTCAGAATCACCTTTATTGGAATTCTGGAATCCAATAAAAGAAACATAGGGCAACTAGGAGAGTGCTTCATGAAGAAAGAGGCTGCTACATTTCCACGAGGAAGCATTGTGGTGTTCTTGATCACCCACCCAACATGCCTCGTTCCTCAGAGTGGTGGTAGCTGTGGAGACAAACATTGACATTCTTGGTGTGGTTTTCTAGGGCCAGGGGGTCAAATAGAGACTTTATTCTCAAAAATTGTTGTGTGTACTTTGACCCATCTGTCAGTTGTTTTAGGGACCTGCCCAGAGGCTTGCCTTTGTTTCCCCCCCAACTGCTGCCATGCAGTCCCAGGGCTGGGCCAGCTCCCTGCCCACAGACACCAGACACAGCGGGTGGCAGACAGGCCAGGAACAGGCAGACCCAGAGCCTGGGAAGGACACATGAGGCTGAGGATGAACATACAAGGTGTCTGAACACATAGAGAGTATGTTAAAAAAAAAAAAAGAGAGAGAGAGAGAGATAGCAGATTAGTGATTGTCAGGGGAGAATTTGGACATGGGGAGTGACTGTTAAATGGGTATGCAGGTATGGGGTTTCCTTTGGAGTAAAAAAAATATTCTGGAAATAAACGGTGGCTATACGATGTTGTAAATGTATCAGATGTCACTAATGGTAAATTTATGTTGTGTATATTTGACACAATTTTTTTTTTTTTTTAGAGAGTGTGTGTCGGGAGGGGCTGAGGGAGAGAGAGAGAATCTTAAGCAGGCTCCACACCCATTGCGGAGCCTGATCTGGGGCTCGATCTCACGACCTTGAGATCATGACCAGAGCCAAAATCAAGAGTCAGACGCCTAACTAGCTGAGCCACCCAGGTGCCCCTAACGAAATTTTTAAAAATGTTTAAAAATTGTTTTGGGATTTTAATTGGGATTTCATTGAATATTTACATCAGTTTGAGGAAAACTGACATCTCAACTCTATTGAGAGCTCCAATCCATGAGCATTTGTAGGAAACATGAGGATGTGCTGCCCAGATTCCTCTTCACTAGAGGAGTTACTACCCAGTCCAATCACAGGGACTGTGATCAGCAGATGGCCTCCAACTCTGAGCATCTTGTTTCTACCTTATCTGGGGAGAACTGCCTTACCGTCAGTCAGCTATTTCCAGGGCAGTTCATATCCAGTAACCAAGCAGTATAGGGGGTGGGAGTGGGGAAGGGGACATAAAGACCAGTCTGCGGTGGTCCAGCTCAGAGCAATTTTCACTCTAGAAGCCCCAGGCTTTGATGGACCTGCCTGGTAGCACAGATTCTTCCTTCCCCTTCTTTCCTAGGTGTTGATCCCTTATAAACATGCGGCACCCAAACTTCATTTCACTATCTTCTTCCAGAAACCCCAATCCATAACATTATTTAGCTCTTCTATAATTTCTCTCAATAATGCTTTATAGTTTTCTGTATAGAGGATTTGCACATACTTTCTTAGATTTAGACCTTGCTTTTTCAAGCTCTTTTAAATAATAATTCGAAAATTTTTACTAGTTTTGGAGCACCTGGGTGGCTCAGTTGCTTGAGCATCCCACTCTTGTTTTCGGCTCAGGTCATGATCTAATGGGTTGTGGGATTGAGCTCCACGTCAGGCTGCTCAGTGGGGAGTCTGCTTGAAGATTCTTTCCCTCTGCCCCTCCCCCCACTCGCAAACATTCTCTCTAAAATAAATAAATCTTGAAAATAATTTTTTTGCTAATTTTTGTTGCAAATATATAGGAAGACAAGTAATTTTTGTTTCTTAGCTTTGTTTCAGCAACTTTGCTCTCATTTATTAATTCTAATAATTTGTACATAGATTCTTTTGGATTTTCTACATGAACAAGCATGCCAAACTCAAATAATGAGTTTACTTTTTTCCTTTCCAAATATACATTTTATTTCTTTTTCTTATACTTCTGCATTAACTAGAGCCTTCAGTAAATTGGTGAATAGAAGTGGTGACCACTCTCATTCCTGATTTCAAAGGGAAAGGGCTCAATAATCCATCATTAAGTACGAGGTATGCTATAGGTTTTTGTGTAGAAAACTTGTATTAGGAAAGTTCCCTTCTTTTTTTGAGCTAAAACAAGTTTTTCCCCCAATCCAAAAAATGGATGTTAAATTTTATGACATTTTTCTGCTCTTACTGAGATATTATTATTATTTTGAATGTTAGACTACTTAGCATTTCTGGAATATAAACATTTTGGTCAAAATGTCTTAATCCTTTTTAAATACCACTGAACTTAGTTTGCTAATACTTTGCTTAAATTTTTGCACCTACATTCAGGCAGACCATGTAATTTGCTTTCTCATATTGTTTCTGTCAGATTTTGGTATCACATTTAGCTGGCATAGTAAGTAGAACAAGTTGAGAAATGTTCCTTCTCATGTTTTATGTTCTTTCTTCCATAAATGGAAGGATTTACCAGTGAAGCCAGAAGTTTACTTGGTGGAAAGATTCTAAATTACAAATTCAGTTTATAGTTATAGATCTATTCCTATCTTATATTTATTTTTGTGTTAGATTTGATAAGTTGTATTTTTCTAGGAAGTTGTCCATTTCACTTAAATTTTCAAGTTTATTTACTAAAATTATTTATAATATTCTCTAATGATCTTTCTAATGTCTTAGAATCTATAATAGTTTCTCCTTATTTTCTGCCTTCTTCTTTTTCTTTCTTCCCTCTTAATTATATTTATTGAAGTATAATTAACATACACTGTTATATTACTTTCAAATGTACAGCATATTGATTTGACAATTCTATATATTACTCAGTGCTCATCAAGATAAAGTATAGTGTAGTCACCATACTATGTCATTACAGTGTTACTGACTATATTCCCTATGCTGTAGTTTTCATCTCTGTGACTTATTTATTTTAAAACTGGAAGTTGTACCTCTTAATC